GGGTACCTCCGCAGAGCTCCCGCAGAGCAGAGCCCGCCGCGGGCATGGAGAGCACCGCATGGCGCGTGATTTAAATATGGCGCCCCGCGCGTCGTCGCGGCTCATTTCGCCAGAGCACGGCGCGCGCGCCAAAAAAAGTAATTGATGAAAAACTCATGGTATGGGCACGAACCTTCACGCATTGAAAGGGTGAGAAGGAAATGGCATGGGCGGGGTGTGTGGGGGTGGAGGCGAGGAGCACGGCGCGGCACGGCTCGTCAGCGGGAGGGGGGGGTCCTGGCGCGGACGGATCCTAACGACAGCGATCGCAGTTTGTCCTTTTTATCGCCTCGCACATAAACCTGATGTCGGTCCCGCGCCCTCCCCCCGCTGGAGGGCGGCGCAGCGCCCGGGGGCGGTGTGCGGCGGCGGCGGCGGCGGCGGCGACGACGCGTCGCAACCATCCGATCGCAAGCGGATCACGAGCGTCGCGTCGCGAGGCGTGTCGCGAGTGGCGCTCCGTGTTCCCTAATAGTTTACAAGGCCCCGGCGGGACCGCGGGAGAGGAACACGGAGGCAGGGGCGCGGCGGTGGAGCGAGGAGCGAGGTGCCGAAACCCCGTCAACGAAACCGCTCTTGTACTCCCTCTAATGACTGCCATAAATGGGAGCGGTGATCCTTCCACCCGCACCATCTTGCTGTGTGCGTGGGTATGTGTGTGTTGTGTGCCAGTGTGTTTGCGTATGTGTATGTAGGTGTGTGTGAGTGTGTTGCTATTGGATTGGTCCTCTGGGGGGACGGGCAGCAGCAGCAGGTTACTCACGATTGCAGGGTAGGGTATGGCGCGGGGGGCGGGAGGTTGCCGGGGCCGTAGAGGGGCGCCCTCTCTATGTAGGAGGCGCCGCCGCGCGCAGAGGGTTTTGTCACGGTGAGGCGGCGAAACGGCAGAGCTGGGACCGAGCGAGAGGCTCGGAGTGTGGGGTAGGAATTCAGCGTTCGGAAAGGCAAAGCTGTCCTCAGTCAGTGTCAGCGCCGAGGTGCGGGGCGGGGAGTTTGTTGTTGGCGACACCAGCGCCCCGGAGCGCCCCCCACCCCACACGTCCAGGTCCCCGCCGTGCCGTCGCCCCGGACGCCACGGCGCCGAGGCCGAGGACCGCTGGCTGGGTCTGCCTCTGCCCTTGCGGCGGCGGCAGCCAGTGAGCCGAAACGTGTCCCGCCTCTTGATTGGCTGCTCATCGAATCACGTGACCTTCGCTCGGCGTGACGCAGTGCCGTGTGGCGCAGCGGGCAAGATGCCGCCGCCAGGATGCCGTTGTGTGTGTGTGTGCGGCATCGGATTATCGGCCGTGTTTCTCGCTGTTGGGCCGACCCACCCGCACCACCCGCCCCGCCCCGCCCCGCACGACGTCGGGGAGCTCCTAGAGGCGCGGCCGAGTGGGGCCGAGTGGGGCCGAGTGGGGCGGGGGTGCGTGGCGCGCGGCACGTCGTGTATTGGACGTGAACGAGTTGAAGCGGATATTGAGTTTGCCCTGCCGCCACTTCTCGTCACGGCGTGCATACATACACACACGCACACACTTACACACACTCGACGGCGCCAACTGGATTACAGCATGTCGCCCCTCCTCCTGTGTGTCCTCAGCCCCCCTGGACGCGGAGCTGGCGGCCTGCCTGCCCGGCGCCCTGGGCAGCGGCGCGCTGGGCGCGGACACGGCCGCCACCTCCGCCAACCTGGCCGGCACGGACGCGCTGCTGCGGCGGGGGGTGGTGTACCGCGGCGTGCTCTGCCCCTCGCTCAGCTCCTCCTTCCTCGACTCGCACCTCGAGATCTCCTACCAGAAGTACTCGTACCGCCAGCGGCAGAAGGCCCTCATCGCCGTCAACCTCGTCGACCTGGCGCTCAAGGTAAGAGATTGTTCCAATACTGCGCGGCTGTTAGGGAGTACAAATATTATGGGCCCAAAAGGAGTAAAGCCCGTAGGACACCATAATGTTTGTACCCCGGGGTATAAATACTATGGGATCTCTATGGACTCCAATGATGATCCTGATCATTTTGGGCTCATTTTGGGACCCCGTAATATTTGTACCCCCATGAAGGTCATGTAGTATTGAAACGACCCATAAGTCGCCGCTTTGGCGCACGATCGCTATTCCTTCCTGCCCGCTGCTGTCCAGTGGGTCCGGTCAGGTCGTGGCCGTGCTGCCCGGCTTGTGCCCGGCGCTGCCCGGCCGGGCCGGTCTGAACCGCAGAGTCCTCGTGCGTTTGGCAGGTGGTGCTGGCGGTGCTGTGGTCGTGGGGGCTGTACTGCAACGCCATGCCGACCCCGCGCGCGCAGGAGCTTCTGTGGTCGCTGACGGGCGGCGCCTTCAACGTGCTGGCCAGCGTGCTGGGCTGGTGGCGCTGCTTCGCCAACAACTACCTGCACTGGGCGGCCATCGGCACCTGGATGCTCGTCAACGTTCAGGGTAAGTGATACTGCCCGGCAACTTTCAAGATCGTTGCCG